TCAATATAGTCCCGGAAAATCCAACCACTGCTGTTCGATCTGAGCTATTACATCACTACATAGTACATATCCAGTTGTTCTTGTACAACTTTAATTCTTTGATCATAGTAGGGTGCACTAAGTGTTTAGTATCCGGGCGCGCGCGTATTATTGCTAAATGCTCCCGGCCCATACAGTTTTAAGGTAGAATAATGTCTTCAAAGAAATCTGATAAAATAAAATAAAAATATAATATGTATATATATATATATATATACCATCTAATACTCATGATTCGTGTCGAGATTTACAAAGAATATGCCTAAGAATAAAATGTTTTATTTCTTATGTTTTATTTTTTATTTTGTTTTCTAAAGAATTACTGTTAGGTACGTGTAATAATATATTATGTTTCCGATATAAGAAAAGTAAGATTGACTCCATGTATCTCTCAACTAAAGTTCTAAGAAAACTTAAAAGCAATATGTGAAAAAAAACATATAGGTAAAAATATAATTAAGCCTAAAAAGATCGGGATTAAATATGATTAAAATAATGCGATTTAAAGGATATCGTGCACAATATAATTGCACTGATAGACAGTTTTATTGATTACTGAAGAAAAAATATGGCTATAGTATACCTATACATGTTGCGGTAAAATTACATCGGTAAAGCCATGATTTTTACAACAGCTCTTAGACAAAGTTTTAATGACGAGCTTAAACTGATTGACTTTGGCAAATGCTAGGATATATACAAAATTGTACGGTCTGATACTGAATGATTATTATGGTTCGTGGTTTCATTATCTATACAGAAGTCATTAGGTACACTGCAAATAACAATGGTAAAGTATAAATATTATTGGATTTTCAGGATTTTTGTAACTCAACCTTCAAGTAATATAATATTATGGATTTATACAGTTCTTTCGTTCCATCACTGCTGAATTTATTTTATTTAAAACACATCAGATAAGAAATACATTCGTGTTTAATGCAATGATAAAAAACATTCAATATATTTTTTATTTTATTAAACTTCTATAATGTATTTAATATAAAAATTTAGAGTAACAACATAACTAGTTTTATGTTTTTTTTTTTCAACAAAACAGGACAAAGTCAATTGTGTAAAATATTTTGCATTGATGAATTTTTAGCAAAGTGAACAGTAAACTTTGATAAAATTGTATACATAATCAAGAATGACAGCCGTCTATATACTAATGGAAATAAACCTTAAAGTATTGTATCTAAATAACTAGTGGTGGAGTAAAACTTTTATTTCAATTAACAATAATATAACATATGAAATGAAAACTTTCGGAAACTTTAAATATAGAAACAATTATATTTATGTTAATTTTACGGTTAATTCAAGCACCTTTTATTAGTATTGTACAAAAAAAAAATACACATACTTAATATATTTAAAGTTATTTAATTTAAATTTAAAAATCTCAAATTGTATCTTCTTTCTTTATTTTATTGGTAAATACTTATGTGTTTATAATTTTTCAAATTGTGTATAGTTTTGTTTTCTCTCCATTCGTCTATGATAACTTTCCATAGGTAACGTGGTTGTTTTATTATTAATTATGGTTTTTGGTTAACTGCTTTTAGACTTGTAGACTTGATTATTTAATCAATGCATATGTATCAATCCTCTATTCAGTGTCAAGATGTACTACGATACTTTGAAATTGTATTAATTTTTAAACTATACATTATTAAGAAATAACTATCAAATGAGAAAACATTGTATTTTTTTTTCTTTTTGAGTTTTGTTGTTATTTTATAATTCCGTGAACATTTTTTTTGCAATTTCGCACAATTTCTTAATATTTTTAATTTAATTTAATTTAAATACAATAATTCCAAGTAATACAATTAATCAGTAAATGTTAAATAAATCGATAGTTATTTAATAGTGATATAAAAACATATTAAATTAGCATATTCATTAAAAATATATGCCATCTATTTGTTTTAAAAAAATGTTTTTTTTTTTTTTTTATGTTTAGTTGACATTTAATAATAATTTTAAGAATATCAATTTTTGGTACAATATTATATAATATTATATCGTGATAATAATCTACAATAATTTATATTAATTATAAATACTTTAAGAAGTATTAATCGTAAATACATTTCATATAAGATCAGAAACTTAGTATTATGATTCATTATTTATTAGATATAATAATAACTTAATTTTCATTTTTAATCATAACTATTAATACTATTCATTTGTTAGTATGTTTCAAAATATACAATCGAGTTTATTTACAAATTTAATGTTTGAAATAAATACATTTAAGTATGTACAAAGACAGTTATACAGAACACTGAGAATAAAGTATTGAAAACATATATCATCTTACGCATATCGAGGCAACAAAGTTTTAAATTATTTTTAATAAATTCGGAAATAATGATAAATCATTGTAGTTTAAAAATATTCTTAGAGGAACTTAGTTTTTATAGTATTCATGAAGTTTTCCAATTTTTAAGTGCTCGTAAAAAAATTTTAAAATAGGTTTTTTAAATTACCAACATACTCGTATAGTAATAGTACAATATCATTAACTGCAAATTAACATTTCAAGTATTCAAAACTAAAATTTTGCAAATTGAACTAAAAAAATGTTAAATTAAATACGTCATGATTCATGAATCCATTTATTCAAACTTTAAAGAGGTAATTATATAAATAAAAAAATTAATGTATAATTTTACTATAAGGAACTTCTTAAAACTTGGTAACGAATACTATCACAATAGTTTTCAAAAGCTAGTACATTTAATATACCTACCATAATAAATATTTGAAAATGAACTTCAAAATAAACTAGAATTTATTTTATTAAGCTTTTACAAATGAATACATATTAATAAAATAAAATAGTTTTTAAAATAAATTATTCAAGTTTAAATACTTTAAAAAAATAGTAATAGTATAATATTATTTTACTTAAGACTCGTAAAAATATATATCTCATGAATATAATATAATTATTGACTATAAATTATAAAATCAGATGTAATTTTAATTATTAAGTGTATTCGCTTAATTTTAATTTACGAATAAGTACAAATTTAAAAAAAAAAATCCAACACTCAACACTTTGTATCTTTTATTTTGTCAAAAATTTAAATATTATTAACTTGATACATATTTCATGTGTAGACTTTTAAATTCGGTGTATTACGTAACATTAAAAATAAAGTTGTAAAATAAAAAAAATATTTAATAATAATAATAGATATACAAAATATCACTATGTATGCATATTACCACTTTTATTTGTGTTTTTTTTCTCCGCAACTTTAGTCATGTCTCAAGTGATATTATTATTTACTATATACTCGTATACATTGAATGTAATATTTTTCAAGACGAATAAAAATAGCCTGATCTAACTCTTTTGATGTTTGTTAAATTCAAATAGAAATGAAAGTGGATGTAAAATATACATTTATTATTATTTAACCTGCTCGTAAAAGTTTAAAGATGTCACAACTATAGGTGATTTTTATGGTATTATTATTGAAGCACGGTCAGACGTACGAGTCTAGAGATTGTGACTTGTCTCATTCTAAATATCGTCTTGGTGAAGCCAGTTATATATTGTTAGTTTAAATTCAAACCAATATTTTCATAAATAAACGAGTATGAATGAAATTGGATTTATAGAAAATATATTCATATCGATTATATTAAACATAATATATAATAGGTTTCCTATGCATTTATACATGAGATGCGTTTTAAAAATATTTAGTGCTTGTAAAATACATTTAAAGTAAAGATTTTTGATGATAAACATTTGAATTTACTTAGTTCAGTAAATATTATCAAATGACTTCAAATATTAAATTTATTATTTTTCAATCTAAAACTACAAACTATTTTCAAATAAATCTAAAATAAAATATCATAACTTTCAACATTGCAAGTATTTACATTAAAGTGTAAAAACTGCGTTGAATATTAACTATAATGTGATATTAAATGTTAATTGAAATGGTTTCATATACTAAAACTTATACATCTAAAAATAGCTTAGATTCATTTTTTTTTGTCATTTTTTTACCAAAATCACCACGAATTAATCCAAGGATGAAATAAATATCAACACAATATATTTGACTCAATTTACATTATCTTTATTCTACATAAGAATTATTACTTAAATAATGAATAAACTTAAAATCAATTGTACAATTATATGATGTAGGTAGGTAGATGAATTTATTTAACAAAATAAACTCACACATATATATATTTATAATATGCATATACACAAGCATGTAAAGGACTTAATATAATAGGTACATCATAATAATATGTTTTACTTATTTTTAAGTGTTTAAATGAAAACAAAAACTTAACGAAACTCAATAGCAAGAAAATTCTAATAAAGAATACATACATATTGAAGTCTTAATGTAGTAAATTAATAAACAACAAAATATAATAGCTAATTTATTGTTGTATGAATAATTTAATGAAAAGCTATTTAGAATTAAAAAAAAAAAAACACGGTTCAGTCAACCAATATTTTCGGTGCGCTTATAATAGTTATATAGACTTAACAGACTAGTTAAAATAAAACAATTTTAAATCTTTTCGAGATCACAATAAGTAATAATTTATTGTAGAAGAGCATAAAATAAAAGTTGCAACCAACGCTTCAAGATTTACATAAATATTTTGACGTAATTCCTGCATGAGTCTATAATGAATAATCTCGTAATTTTTCGGTGGAACACACTACTATTTCAAGAAATCGATTTTTGGTATATATGGGAGTATACGCGTATTATATATGTATTTTTTTTTAAATCTTACATTTATATGTAAATAATTAACGCGCACGTTGTTTAAGTTTATAATAATATTTAATCTAATAATGTTTATTCGTGACTAGAGTATACATACCAATATATAATGTTATATACATATTAAATGAATCATATTATTTTATATGATTATATTATATAAATAATTATAATATTATTAATACAGATGATGAAGTTTTGACATTCAATCGAACAAAGCTCGACAGAGAATTATACTTACATAATATCGTATTATGAATGATGTCGGAAAATTGGGATGTTTTTTTATTATTACCAGTTAATTTTTAATTATAGATAATTTCTTACTACATACTTAATAATAGACCTTCTAATCATCTTAATTGCACATTTTCTATGCAGTTTGAGGTGATAATAATTGGATTCATAAATTATATAAGAATTATGCTATTTTTTTTCATATTTTATGTTTAAAATATTTGAATTTTCAACTTTTTAACAACTTTAACAACACGAATTATTTACATTCACAACTGACGATTAAACCTAACATTAAATGTTATTGGGCTCATAAATAGCATATTAATAAATTAATAAAACAATAGCCGAATGATGATTAATTGACAAAAACACAGAATTTAATTTGAAAGAAGTTTAAGTATGTGGAAAGCTAATAACTATAATAATATGTCGGTATACTGAGTACCACTATCTATTCCATCAAGGATCCACCCACAAACTAACTTTATCATAAAAAGTTTCAGGCGAATAGAATTATGTACATTTTTTAGGTAGCTCATTATTTTGTTATTAAATTAAAAAGAAGGTTGAGGTAAAAATGCATATTGCTATCTGTTCACCCCATCATAAACGACGTATGAATAATATGCAGCTCCAAGGTTTCTTTAGAACATGACGTAATAGGAAAATGACATGAATAGAGGAACCCGATTGGAATAATTGTGTTTCGTGGACTTGGTTTCTGATGAATTTCAGAATCGAACGAATCACACGCAATGCATATGACCGGAAATTCATAGTATATTAGTGGTGTGGCGAACGGGGTAGAGCAGAAACGATAGACTCAGACTAAGTGTCCTTCCGTTTCATCCGGTTTGTGTGCGAAAGTGGTGAGAACATTTTGCGACGAAAACACCGTGACATCGGGTGGCGGAGGCGGTGGGGGCGGTGGTGAGTAATAATTAAGTTTGCTGACCATTGGCGGTATCATCGAAGGTGGCGGTCGATTTTGCAAAATCGGTGGTAATGGCACGGCCCGAGCTGTCGGTATGCCCGGCGCGACATGGTGAGATTGCTGTAGTTGATGCTGCTGATGATGAAGATGATGATGATGCTTCTGCTGTTGATGCTGTTGTGGATGCTGTTGATGCGGTTGGTGATGGTGGAGGTGATGGAGGTGATGATGATGGTGTAGGTTGGAAGTCCGATTCTCTGCAACACACACGATGAGCCAATATTGTTTCGGTCAATTTTTTTGTTCGTTTGTTTTTTATTTCTTTTTTTCGCAGATTTGTGTCGTTAGCTGACACGTCGTGTGCTTATATTATCACAATAAATAGATTTTACGATGATAGGTTAATTGAAACGTGTCTTTATAACACGTGTACTAAACAATTATAACGATAATACAATATTGTTAATTTTATGTTATTATCATTATCATCATAATTGTTATTATTATTGCTGCGATGTGTTGTGTTATATGCGTAAACCGAAACCATATAATTAGTTCAAGCGTGTAGTATGTATATATTTATATTTTTTGATATATATATATATATTTTTTTTATATAATATATATATATATACATATTATTATAATAATGCAAAACTCCGTCCATGCGAAGACAATTTAAGGACTGTTTTGCAGGCCTTAAAATATATTATGTGGCGGTTAGCGGAAGGTTAAACATTTTCTCAAATTACCAATATTTCTTATGTCGTTTGTATTTTCGTGAATATTGTAATGTTGTATTGATTGGTCAGAGTTCATACTTAAACCACCGCTGTATTGAACGTGCTGCTGTAGGGGATGATCACAATCGTTGATGAAAGGATAATCAATCTGTTCGATTAAATACGATTGTTCGGCAGACTTTTGCTGTTGATCGTCCTGTAAACAATATTCTGTTTATTCAAACTTCCGTTACAGCCATAAAATCCATATTTAAATAATTGTAATTTTTATTTTTTATCCACCCTCTCCTACTACGTTATAAGTTTGTTATAAATATCAAATACATTCATCGTTTTTTTTTTTTTTTTTAATGTATTAATGTAGTATCATGCCCTCCTCATAAACTTGATATATTTAAAACAATGATTGTACTTACATTATAATCTGGAGAAACATTTGAATATGTTTCCGATTTGGCTGAAATTGAGCTTAAATTTTCTTCATATCCACCGTTATAGGTATTCGGTGCGTACATTTCTATCGTTGGCGTTTTACTACTTGAATCGTTGTTTTCTGTAAAGAAACGGAAATTTCTTAACATGAATACCATTAAATAAGTAATTTATAAATTAACAATTATCGCAGGATTCTAACCCGTTTAAAAATGTACAGTAAAAAAGACAAATTAAAACTGTTTATCACTACAGTTATTCATTAAAGCACACCATTTTCGAAATCCCTCCCAATAAATAATTTTGTAAATAATATAATACTAATTAAACATACCATTGTTTATTTGTTTGTTAACGTTACGACGCCTGTGTATGCAATACGATACAACGCATATGCTGATGAGTATTAAAATACCACCAAAAACTCCCAAGAAAGTGAACACGATTCGCATTCCTTGATCATCGGTCGGCTTCTCTTGATTCGAATCGGACTTTGATTTCACATTTTCTTCTGTAAAACATAATATCAACAGTTTTCAAATCAAAACGATTTCAATAATATGAACGACTATGCGTCTTATCGTAATATAATCCCGTTATAATATATATATATATATTAAATACTATCGATGTGAAATCCAACAAAATATTATAATAATATTATCGTATATATTTTATTTAGTGTACAAAAATCACAAAAACGTTATAGGATGTAACGTTTTGGAGAACAAATATTCATGGTTGGTCCACATGGATATCTTAATTTTATATTATAATATAAACATAAATAATTGCACCTAAGTTTCTAACTTAAATCTAAAATACATTTAATAATGTTATTTATCACTTTACTTACTTGTGGTTACTTTAAGGCTCTGGGCCATGTAAGAACTCTCCCCATACATGTTATGGGCCATGATGCTGAATAAATATGACGTTAATGGTTCGAGTCCGATGACCGTGTGATGGGTTTCGTTTCCGAGGTCCTCGAAGTGAAAAATTTTGCTGTCGAATGCCCGGTACCGAAGACGATATGTAACCGGTTCGCCTAAACAAACGAAAATTTAGCTCACGAAAATTATTATTTATTATTGTATTAGAGAAAACAAATAACTGGTATGTCAAATAACATGATGTTTCATGTTCTGATAAGGGTAAATTACTCGATTAATATTGTAATTGGTTACAAATTACGAGTTACACTATAATTGTGTATCTAGTTACGAGATATTAGATACATTAGAAATGTATAACTGGTTATGAATTACAGTTAAAGTTACAACTTATTATTTATTTATGTTTATTTTTTCAATACATTAACACTATTGTGATGAACAACGACACTGTTAATTAATATTTATTTTTTTTTTTTTTCGGAGGATTTCATAAGAAAAATATATTACTTATATTAGTTATGATTGAAATTTCTATAAGTATCAAATTAAAATATATTTTAAAATATTTTACGAAAATTCAATAATTGAAGTGTATTTAGAATATAACATCACAAGCAAAATTATACAAATATTAAACAATGAACTGTATACTCGTATATCAATACATTTACACGGAGTATGAATAAAATACTTACATACGGGCAGTTAACTTATTACTAGTCTTATATATTATTGAATACAATTAAACATTAGTGATTTATTATAATTATTATTTCATAGCATTATTATTTATTGTAAATATATGTAATACTTCTGATATAAGTGAAAAATGCAAATAAAAAAAGATAAGAAGATTCATCATATGAAATAACACGTGTAATCGAATTTTTGTAATGACATTTTTTTTTTTTTTTTTTATTATTAACTACTAATTCCAAATGGTTGTTAATTACGTATATTATATACATTATATATATTTCAATTATTGTCAATAATCTCCGCAAAATTGATATTTATATCGTCTAACTATTATCTTTTTAAATGTAACTTTAACTTGTGTTGTTATTCAAAATTACAATAAAATGTTTTATTAGTTCATTTTAAAGTTACTAGAATATTACATAATTAATTACAAGTTAAAAGTTAAGTTCTAAAAATTTAAATTAATTAAGTTATTTTTAATCATACAACTGATAACTAGTCAACCCTGACTCATAAATATTTTAATGCTATGCCTGCAAAAAATTTGATTCTCCGAGGAGAGTTTATTTTCTAGATAAAATTCATAAAAAAAGAAAAAAGTGCAAAATTATAGTGAAATCGACTTCATATGATATATTCATCTTATAGAATATTTTTAGTATAGGTATTTAAATACTTTAATTTGTTGGTAATGATTACTTCTTAAATACAATAACATTATATTAAAAACTTTTATTATTATATTTTTTTTCTTTTTAAATTTTTAAGTCCTAATATTTGTAACCCGTAATATTAATGAGTTAATAATTAATATAATACTACTTATTATGCCTACTATTATAAGTAAATAATATTATCACTCCGTATAAACTTAGTGACTGAATGAAATCTTGTTAGTATCGTGGGGGAGGGGTACTTATGATGAAAAAAAACTCTTTTTATACGGATGCATACTTTGAAACAATTAATATGTTTATAAAATTTAACGATAATTAAATAAAGTAATAAACGTTTAAAAAAAATAATAAAATAAGATTCATATGGTTTACGATAAAAATAAAATTTAAGAATTTTTGTAAATATTTTAAATGCTTCTTGTTCTGTGTGGTATTTGAATACTATTGGAAAACTTGTTTTTCACGGAATTTTTAATCAAACGCTTCGTAAAAGTATCTCTTACAGCGCTGTGTGTACTGTTATAATATTTTCGCTGTAATTTTAGCCTAAAACCCTCGTACACCAAGTGCACTTATTGGCTGTCGTCGCGTCGTGTAGGCACAATTACTATACGTGGCACGGGTTGCGGTAAACGAGTGTTCGCGAGAACGAAAACATAACAAGGAACCGCGTAAAATAAAAATAAAAATATAAAACGATAATTCGAAACTTTCGGTTTGTATAATATTAACACTTGTTACCTACTACGGATGTTTGGACGGAAAAAAATACCGAAACACCCAGTGCAACGCATTGATTAAAATACAGCGGACGTGCGTGTGCGCCGCCGTCGCGGTCGTACACGGTAATATTATTATTGTAAGTAAGTTATAAGAACAGCGGTCTTACCTCCGTCGAATCCAGGGGTCCACGTCAGCATGGCTTTGTTGTGCGTGACGTTCGCCAATCGGAAGTTATACGGCGGGTCGGGGTGCGAGAAGACGGTCAACCGGTTAACCGAAGTCGTCCGCCCGAGTTTGTTGGACGCGGTGCACACGTAATCGCCGTAATTGTACTGGTCCACTTGTAGTATCGTCAGAGTCGACTCGTAAAACGTTTCGTTCAGCTGAAACGCAGTACGATATATTATTAGTATTATTATTATTATTATTATTATTATTATTATTATTATTAGTGTATACAACTCGTGCGTTGTTTATAATACGACGTGACCGTCGACGATTATTTTAGAGTCGTGTTTTTTTTTTTTTTTTATTCTTCCTGCCTTGTAAATTGTACGGACGTGCTCGATATCACCCCCCCCCGAAGCGCCGTCGCAACGATGTCATAGATTAAACGAGTAGTCTACAGTAGTACGTATGATATCAATTATAATATTATATAATGGTAATGTACCCGTTGACTTGACACGGCGTACCAAAACATGAGTAATACCTATACCTACTACAACGTACGCCTATAAACGATGATGTAATTCGGTTTCGATTCGATTGGAGAATATCTAATGATCGCGCAGGCAAAATCAAAGACAGATACATTTTTAATTAATTTTCGTGTTATTTTTATTACTTTCATTATTATTCAAAGAACCAGTAGTGTTCCAAGAAAAATTGTTCGAGTAGGTATATTCATAGAAAACGTCATTATATAAAATAAAAGAATCACGTAGGTCAAAGATAAATTAAAAAACGACAGAAGTAACAATAAACACTGCTAATTCATTTTTAATATATAATTATAGTTTGAGGTTTAATTTTGAAAAAAATATTAAAATTTTTAACATATACCTCCAAGACATTTTTTATTTTACCATATAAAAATATTGACTTTTCGGTCTAATAATATGTACACAATTTTTTATATATAAATATATTTTCTAAAAAATAAAGCAATTATATTTACTTGTTTCTGTTCCACAATGTATTTATCAGGTATGTTTGTTATGTTCAACCCATCACGTTCCCAAGAAAATCTAATCATTGGAGCGCCTACCGCTCGGCAATGAAGTTTAGCTGACATACCAGCATTGCTAGCAGTTTTTGATTCATTTTCCATTGTTAGTATTTCAGGTTTATCTGTAGCACACACGATTTCAATCAATTGGTAAAAAAAAAAAAAAAATAAAATAATAATTTTAATCGTATTATATGGTTACACATTTTGTTTTCTTAGTTTATCATTATTGTTGAATTATTTTTATGACATTTGTAAAATAATAATATAATTTTACAGAGTTAAGTAGGTATTGATTTAGAAGTATTAAATAAGCATTACTTACGTTCCACAATCAACATTACAGAATGTGATGATTCGTTCCCTATACCGTTGTTAACGACGCAATAGAATATTCCAGTATCGAATTGTGTTGCATTTAAAATAGTTAAATATGAAGTAGTATTTTTAAGTAATATTGATGTGCGATCGTCAAAGAAAAAATTTGGACGCGTCCAGCTTATATGATCCGGACCTAACGGAAATCCTTCTATTCGACACCAAAGTTGTGCATCGTCACCCTCGCTTACGATGACGTTATTAGAAGTATTAGTAATAGTTGCTCGATCTAAAAAAACAAAAAAAAAAAAAATGAATATAAATCAAATTTTAAAAAAAATATTAAAACATATAAACAATTATTTGTGTCTAAACTCTAAATAATAAATAAAAAATAAAAAAAATTGTCTACAAAATCAATTATCTTTAATAAACTTGAAAAATGTATTTGAATTATGTTGTAACATAATATTATAATAATGATTATATATGATATTATTGTAAACATGATTATTTTAGCATAAAATAAAAATAATTTAAACCATATTTTATTAAAAGATTAAGAACTTAGATAGCTTTAAAATATGAACCGCATTGATCGGTATATGTATGGATATATTTTTTTTTTCAAATACTCAAAAACGGATTTAAAATGTTTATAATAATAATCACCACAGATGCTTACGTTTTACTGATATTATAAACCAAAAAGTTGAAAACCCTTCAGTATTGCTCGCTTCGCAACTATAATTTCCAGCGTCTTCACGTTTAACACCGGTAATATTTATACTGGAATCTTGTACACGCCGGTTGTATACTGAATAAAACGGTTTGTTATTTTTGAACCACTTATACGTGATTTGTGAAGGCTGTCCTTTTGCCTGCAGCGTGATGAATATGTTATCTCCTTCTGTATACGTAATTAAATCGGGATACGAATCAAAAGTTGGTTTGTCTGAAAAATAATTATTAAAATATTTTTATTGCCATTCCTTTGTAGAATATATTTATTTTTGTATAATTATTTAAACATTTATAAAATTTAATAATATTTCTATTGGTTAACATTAATATCATAAATGAGTATATCGAGTATGCTGATGGAAATAACCGAAGGAAATTTGCTATTAATATTATTATTTTTTCCATTTGTTTATTTTTTATTTTATTTTTTTTTTTTTTTTTGACCGATGTTAAATAGCAAATAAAATGTAATAAAATATTTAATCTATGTAGGTTATAAAAAATCTATCAAGAGTAATGTTGTTATTTTTTTTTAGTAAAAAATGGTATTCATCGTCCAATATTTATTTGGTAAAATTAGTATATTACTACATACAGTAGGCATATTATCATATGACATCAAAAGTATTTAAAAAATTCGATTTATATAAATGCTCAATGCAGATCTAATAAAAATATAGGTCAAACTTTTAACAGTAAAAAAAGGTTTCACACTCGTACATCGCCATAGTACGTAAATTAAAAATAATAAAAAGAGAAAATCAAGTAATTGAAGGTAGTAAGCTAACAATATTATTGAAGCCGGTAAATAAATTATGAAAATAAAGAGAGCAGAAAATCTAAGGGGTTTAAAAACAAATTACAGTAAATTGAATAATATACAAATATAAATTTCCGAAAATGCTTAGAGAGAAAAAAAATGTTTTAAATAAGTAGAGAGGAAAATATTTTTAAAAACTCGGAAGCCTAGTACGGATGTACTATATACGTATTATTGTTACGCGAATAATATAAATTTAACAATTGTGCATATAATATGACTATATAACATTTTCACCTTTGCCATTTTCTTGTGAGTTATATTAATAATAGAAACTACTTTTTCATTCGAAATAAATAATAGTAACCACAATTTAGATTTTGAATGAAAATGATACATTTCATCGTGATTGAGGTCGACGTGAGTCGTTCCTTAAATCCTGATACAAATAATAATAAAGTATATTATTGTAGATAAGTAAATTTGTCCACCACAGCGCATATATATAAAATCCTCCGTAAGTCACGTAGTAATCGGGTGGGTTGTTTTTTTTTTTTTTATTTTCGGTTACTAATAAAACCGTTTGGGCATCCGAATTGGCTCCCATAGACAGGGTACGATTCATGATTGATAAAAGTGACATGGAATTGGTCCCTCGAATAAGTGATGTAAGTAGCGCGCTTAGGATTCGTATACTAACATATTATGTATATATCTTTAAATCAATTTCTAAAGGAAGATTTAAGTTTAAAACCAATTTACTGTTATCTATCATATTGTATATATAAATATACATATATATTATTTATAAAAAGTAAATTATCAATAAATTTAAAACAATCGTTACTTAAATCAAATCGTTTGTTGAGATAAATGTAATTAAATATACCAATATAATATTATATTATTATGCAATCTATACGCTACAGTATGTTGATTTAATATAAAAATTTAAAAAACTAACATTAAGCTACTGATAATAGCAGAAAAAAAATAGAATAAAATAGAATAGGTACTAAATTTCTTTATCAGTGTATTCGGCAATTGTGCGACACACATTTTATCAGATCATATTAATAGTATTGTTACCATCATTCATGATTCGATCATGGATTATTTCGAATAAAACTAGAGTAGAAAGTAAATTTGGTGCAGTGGTCTGTAAACCTCAGTATCAAATATTGTGACATGCGATATTATGGCAACAAGAGAGTTTTTAGACTTTCGTTTGTAGGAAAAGATTAAAATAGTTAAGTTTGAGTATAACATTATATATAACTTCTGTTAAATTGTAAAATGTCAATAATATTATATAAACTGTTTATAAATTAAAATAAAATGAAAAAGAGCTCAATTTACTGTAAAATAGATTTCGAGAGCACTTCATTATTGAAAAGGATACCGTTAATTGTTATTTATGTGTTTGATTTAAATTAAATAACAAATTATTAAACAGGAAATACGACTCTGAGTGGAGATAGTGGTTCAGCGTATATGTTAAAATTAATTTTTTTTTAAATATTTCTTATTATATTATTGTTGTTATACACGTATAAGTCAATGCCAATGTAAAATATAGCAGTGGTAAATACTTAATGTATTTGTTGTATACATTATTTTTAATTATTGGTCTAAATATTTTGAAATTTTCATTGTGTATAGAAAATAATGATATATGTAATTGCAAAAAGTGAAAAAGCCCTAATAATTTCTAAAATACTTCAAATTACTAACGAAAATACGTTAGAGGATAGATTGCTATTTTTCTGTTAAATATCTAATCTCGATCAATTGCGTAATTCATTTTGAGCGCTAATTAAAAATGAATTAGTGAACACTAAACCTTTAATTTTTTTTTTTTTTTATCCTAGCAAGAATAACTTATGAAGAATCTTGTATTATATTTTCAGGTCTTGAGTATAAACATTTTATACTACACAATTGTTTGTACATTTTCATAACTTTAATGAATTTCTTAAAAATATGAACTTTAAAAATTTTAAACCACCCAAAAAGTTGAGGACTAAAGTATTTTTACTACTCCTAAAAAATTAATGTTAGAGACACAAAATAAATGTAAAACTTAAACAAACACATTCCACTCAAATTCTCAGAATATTAAAGATGGGTTGAACCTTGAAATCTACCCACTTACGATCAAAACTCAAAGGTTAGGTGATTATCAGAAATTGATGCTACTTTATCCAAGATGAAAGTAGTTTTTAGTATTTATTTTATTTTACGTCATTAAAGTGTATAACAACGAAATCAGACCCAGATAAAGTTAACTAATATCTCAAGTTTATTTCTTCAAGCTTATCTATATATACGAAATTCATGGTTAAACGATTCGTAAAATATTATAAATAATATTTAAAAGTAGTGTTTCTGATATCATGTATCTGCCAATCATAACTTAGTTAAGAATATATTTCAATTTTATCTATGTGTTATAAATTGAACATTTTCTTTAATATGTTATAATATAACACCATTGATTATAAACTATTTCACGTATTTTTATCATGCGGCATAGATGAATACTAAACTTATAGTTTTACCTATTTATTAAATTATATACATCAAAATTCAAAAAGTAAGATTTATGCTAAAGAAAACACTAATTCCTCTTTAGAAAAAAACAAACACAAAATATTTAAAAAAATCTTAAAAGGAAAATGTACAATACCTTCAACCAAATACAAGTTATCGAATATTATAATACCTGCAATATTATACTGAATCTATAATGAATATATTTTTAAAAAATAAAAACAATTTAGCGATGACGGAAAAAAAAACTGTAAGTTAATGGGGTACGTAAGTTTCGTGATTATTATAAATTTAAATATTTTTGAAAACCAATTATTTTTATTTTAAACATAAAAAAATCTACCGTACCCAACAAACATTATGTCTTGATCTGAATCTTGTCGTATAACATTATCTCTGGAGTCATATTTTACACTATATATGGTAGACTTGACAATAATAATTGAGAGTTCGTCGATTTAAATGTCATATCTACTTATTATAATAGAAGCGCAGTACTCTAGCTTTATCATGTCAACGTTCTAGTTATTGTCAATTTACACATTTTTATCGATATTAATGATAATTAACTACGAATGAGAGAGATTTTATAGATAACCAGAAAACGGATTCTTTAAACAACTTAAAAAATATGGTATGTAAATGATTATAGGCTAAAGACAAACATTTTCACATTCTGACGTATTTTTAATTTATAGCCTTTTGTTTTAATAATATACACATAGTATAATATTGTATTTGATTAAAAGTATTTAATATAATATATTTATATGTATACTGAACTTCAAATAGCAAAACGTAAAATAAGTTTAATTTCATTCCATTCAAATTTTAAGTACACAACTCACATATAACACTCGGTGCATGTGTCGCTGAGTAAAATACATGTAGATATCTACCTATTTATCAAATTTACTACAACGGAAAAAAATAACCTCCAACGGTGAATAAAATTATCATCTTTATAAATGTTGATACCACACAAAATTTAAATGGCATCACCATAATGTTATTACACTTATAACTACTTACGATATACGTTGAGAGTGACTTCTTTGTTTAAGCTCTTGGATATTAGCGTGTTGGAAGCTTCGCACATGTACACTCTGCCGTCCATTTCAGACGTCACATTAATGGTCAACTGTATGGTGGACAGCTTTCCACCGTGTAGCCCAGGCTTGGTGAAACTGTATACATCCTCGGTAACCTGCATATCCTGGTGCCACCATTTCATCTTCACCGCCGGATTGCTGGAGGTTGCTTCACACGTGAGTGTAGCCTGTACGCCCGGTTTCAGATGCATCGGTTCGTGCTTGATGTTCAAGTGATCGGGTAAAACTATGAAATAAATACACATGATCATACTATGTACGCACCATAATAATAATAATACGTAGATGTTATTTTTTTTTGGAAAACGTATTTTTTTAAGTGTTTTCAATAAAAAATAAAACTATTTTAGTCTAATTAAACGCCTAATCAAATGCAAATTAATAAATACAATCAAATAAATCCGTTCCACAGCTCATTATGCCTATTAAGATTAAAAATTTTAGTTAAAAAATGTTAGTAAAATAATAATTACATTTTAAGTCTACTATGAACTTACACTAAACAATTCAAACTACACGTAATGTTGATTTAATAAAATAAACAATTTAAAAAAAATCTAAATCTTAAAATATGTATAAAGATAATAATTCATATTAATTCATATAAAAAGTAAGGTGGTTAAGTTGCAAATATATCTTATGAAATGTTAAAAATGTTAAAATTTTTAAAACATTTTTAAAATGTTTTATTTTTAAAAAAACAAAAAATAAACAAATAAATATCTCTATATTATAAATTACGTGTTTATTATATTATTTTTGTAAAACAATTAATTTCCAAAAAATAATATTTGAATAGTTTTCAAATAAATGTATCTATGTAAGTTAAATCATTAGTATTTAAACACATTTTCTAAACACTTTCTTAAATTACGAGTACCTATAGGGTATTAAAACTGTTTTTTGAACAGTACTAATGATCAAAGTGTCAAAGAAATATATTTCTATTTTTTTTTTTTTACACTTTAAAAGTATTGACTTAACTACAATATTAATTTTTTGAAACGTAACGCTGAAATATAATCATACCGACTATAACCAATAACATTGTAAGTATATATATTTATATAATATTTAAGAGTTAATAACATAATAAATAATCACGTGTTGAGTTGACCTGTGGAACGAACCTTACAAACAAACCAACCCGTTAAATTGTAATTGGCATTAATATAAATCGTAATAATAATAATAATAATATATAAACGCAATACACGACCATCCCACCATTATAACGAAATGTCTGTTGGCCGCAACTGGAAGGTATATATCTACTACAATAATGCTATAGCTTAGGATGTTTACGTCAATGTAATGCAAGTGAATGTTATAGCTAATACTATAAGTAACAAAACGCCATTTAAATATTGAGTTTTTATTGGTTTTTAAACGTCTGGTCGCGTACGCATTATCCAAAACGTAAACTTCTCCGTCGCTATAATTTGTTATTTACGTGTAGCATTAACCGTCGCGTCGATAATAACCAACAATAATTATTATCAAACCATAACGGTGTATAATATTTTTTACAGCGGTTGTAATATTATAACCGTAGCAGTTCAAAATTTTTCGAAGACTGTATTACATTATTATTATTATTATTATTTTAATATCGACGACGAAGATTTCGACAAGTCGGCAAGGTGTGCGAGTGGGCGCCTCCGCGGATAGAGCAGTGGCTATAAACAGATATATACCCCCACGTGCTGATCTGCGCCGTACACATAAGTGGCCAAGAGTGGGCGCTTTCCGCTTTCGCGCGTTAATATTATTATACGATTTCAATAATCTATACGATATATTATTATTATTATTATGTCGTTTCGCGTGATCAGACGAGTGCAACTCCTCGAATATTATTCAATAATATATAGACCAAACAGTAGGCGCACTCGATCGGCGACGCGTATAATACGTGCGTGTTGGTGTGTGAACACGCCGTAAGTACACGCAAACAGCGGTGTGTTGTTCGTTCGAGAGCCGCACACCGGACGCGACTCATCGAAATTGGGTGTGCGCACACTTAGGTAATCGTCTGGATGACATATTGAAATAATTATGTAAAGACGCCGTCCGCCGCGAAACGGGATACGGTCCTATAACTGCCTACTAATGTACGAATAATAAAAAAAAAAAAACTGCAGCGGTTCACTATATACCTACTATTAGATTGAATCGGTTGGCGATTTGTTTTTCTCGCGTAGTATGGCGACGACTATACTACGATATTATTATTATTATTATATTATAACCCAACGTTTTTCTGCTTTTGTTATTTAAATTTGATTTCGTAAGTGGGTGGTACCGCGAACGTCGAGTTTTATACATTCAAAGCGGGGCGGAATAAGCTATATAGAGTGCCACTACCTACGCCGTAAACGAGTATTTTTCTCGGCAGACGTACGTTTAGGGACAATATTTTAAAAACGGTTTCTAAAATATTTGTTTTTCCTTAGTTCGATTTTTTGACAGCGAGGCGTACAGATTACCACTAACTCCGAAACGTTTAGTATCTTATGAACGAATTGACTTCAGTCTGAGTTAAAAATTAAAATCACAATCACTCTTCGAATCTTATTAGTAGAACATCACGATTAATTAGCGTACACAGAGTTATTGTATGCCGAGTATTCGGAAACTTTAAATTAATGCATGAAAAGCATTGAAGTATTTTTTCGCGTTATGATTTTATTAAATATTTTTCAATCAACTTACCAACGAACGATATATTTTTTTTTCAATCAGTATTAATATATAGTATAAAATCGAGTACATATTTTAGTTTTTTTTTTTTTTTTAATTATTATTGAGTTTTGTTTTCGTAATAATATGTTATAATATAGTTTATCTTACATAGAACTTTAAGTTTATGCGTTTTCATCAAAGGAACCGTTAAAGCTGGATGATTCACTTCACATTTATAAGTAGCATCATTATCCGTATAATTGACCACGAATGCCAATTCAGCTGAAATCGAATTTTCCCCATTTGTTTTAATTATTGAATCTACCTAAAGAATCAAAAACAATAAAATTTAATATTTTGTTAGTATATACCTCCTATAATATCCTAAATAAACAATATTACACATCTATAATATTATACCTGCATCTATATTATTACATACTCGTATTATCCATCATTTTTACGTTTTTGTGCCTCGTTAAATATTTTATACAACGTTATAAATTATAATTAATTAAATTCATTTTCAATTATTGTACATTATTGTATGATACATTTTCTGAATGTTATAAAATAATTAACAAGTATTTTCAATTTTTACTTATATATTTTATTATTTATATTAAGTTGAAAAGTGCTTGCTTATTCTATATTACTAGTTATCAACTGTAAATTTGCATACATTACAATGGTTTAAGTTATTTAACGTTTAAATAAAATACGTAAATGATAAAACATATGTAAAAATTACGATAGAATCAAGAATATTTTGTTATTTTTGTATGAATTTGATCTTAGAATTTTTTTTATCTTTTTTAGATTGTATCTAGTATTATTTCTTGATATAACATTTTGTGATTTCATAATATTATATAATATGTTTGGATGTTTCAATATAAAATACTTAGTAATTGATAGCATTCAGTTATAGTATTTGTTGTATGAGGTGGTTTTAAATAATTTATTCAATTAATTGATGAAATAGGTTTTCATTCGACTCGCAGTATTTATGTTATACCTTTTATCACATATTTTTTTTCTTTAGAATCATTTACAATAGTATTTGTTATTAATGGTATGAATACAATTTCACAGTTATAGGTATTTGATTCTCCGAATGTAATATTATAATATATACAGAGTACAGTCACACTCACACAAAATAATGTATGAATAATACTTGAATGATATATACTACAAATTACAATTCAAAAATTATTAACGGTTATGACGGTAACTAATTTAAATTAATTTAGTATCACACTGTACCTTTTTATCGTTTTTAAACCAAGTGATCGAACCCAGTGGATGGCCGCCAGTAGACACACAAGATATTCTGTGTACATTTCCCGAAGGAATTGGATTACCGGACGACTGGTCGATTATGATCGGTGCTCCAGGCGGGTCTAAACGTTAGAAAATATAACAGTTTATAATTATAATTTTTAAAATTTAATAAGACTTTCGTTAAAATTATTAACTCGTATTAATGAAAAATACTCTGCCGAATTTTTTTATTTGGTGTAAACTTATAAAAGTAACTTTTCTTTTTAATCATTGAAAAATTTAACAGTAATTTTATCTAATCAATCTTTTAATACAAAATATAATATATCACAGGATTTTTTTTCATAGTTATTTCGTTCAGATATCAAAAATGACTCACTACAAAATGTTTAAACGATATGGTTGTCATTAAGTCATTCAGAAATATGATACAATTCGTAAAAAGAAAATAAATAATATTTTATTAAATATTATTCTACCTAATATTTGTCTACTGTCAATAAGAAAATCGACACTTACATAAACTATGAATTCGTTGAAAAACTATGTGTTTGAGATTTTTTACTCGTCTTCAATATAGGTACTAATTACAGTATAGGTACTCCGTTAAGTTTAATTCACATCACCTGGATATACGATATTTGTACACAGATTTTTGACGGATGAAATTAATAGGTCAACGGATATTTAATATCTAGGAATACTGCTCTAGACCATTTGAGCGTGTAATTTAATATACGTGTGACTTCACAACACAATCTTTAGTTATATGACATATTTGTACATACATATCCGTTTGTTTTAACGTTTTCTTGACATCTGGCCGCGCTATTATACGTTAGATTACTCGTATTATTAACAAATGTGTTTTCGTTTCGTTTTCACTAACACATGCCATAAAATAATGATGATATTATAAAAGTGCAGTCAAACCACCAGTACACTAATAACTTCGGCAAAATAAGACACGTAAACGAATCGTATTTCTAAACACTGTACAATACACCATTGTGATAAAAAAAAAAAAACTGTACTCACGTAGTATGCTGATTTTATGGGTGTCGATAACTCTTTCGGACATGCTGTTACTGATGGACTGGCACGTGGCCACCACGGAACGCTGTCCGGTTGGTATGACAAACGATACGTTGGATTTTGTTATCCAGCTGGACTGCGGAGCTGGCACCTTTACGGAAGTACTGTTTTCTTCCACATCACCAGCCACCGTCCATTTTATCATTGACGCTGGATTGCTACGCCCGGTTTCGCAGTTTAACGTTATAAATTCTCCTTGTTTCGCTTCACTTGGTCCTTTAATACGAACATGAGTTGGACCAACTACACATACGTCATAAAAAAAAATTTAAGTTAATTTATTAGGTTGTGTTAAGATTTCAATATTGATTAAATTAATTGACTAATTACTATTATAATTATAACTTTTGATATAATTATGTTTACACACTATACACACAATGCCAGACATCAGTTATTCATTACTCGTAGAACGTAAATGTATTAACAATATCCTTATTATAATAATAATCTAATTTTTTATTAAAATATATATTATCAACAGCTGTTCACCCAAAACTATCTATATCATGTATATATTTTTTTAAATAAATTGTATTTAAAAAAAAATCTAAATTTGATTTTAAAACTGTTTAATGCTTGGTAATTCAAACTTGACTATACAGAGGTATATGTATATATATGTAGAGTTAAAATATCAATCTTACGTAAAAATAATAAAGAATTCAAATTTGTTTAATGTTTTTTTTTTTTTTTTTTATATCATAGTACAAGAGGTCAATGGTTTTTTATAATAGTACGTAACCTTTGTGAAAAATAACACCTGTTCATGCGCGTGGATCCAGTGAGTTGAAGACTTGTACCTACACAAGCGTGAGCTTTAAAACTTAAGTAATAGAACATCATTGATACAAAGGAACTATTAAAATCACAAAATCACTTCTTAACAATTTATCGAAATTCTTAAAAACTTAAAACTATAATCAATACTTTTAAAAATATTCGTTTTCTTAAAACTCGATACATTTAATTTAACAGTATGTACATAAAAATATATTATTATCATATTTTTTAAAAATTCATAATAATAATTAGGTAACCTAAATTATATCATATAAATAAATGGCTTCTAAATATCTAAATAATATTTGTTTAGTTATTTTTACTATTTATTGAAAATAAATATATTTCGCTTATATAAACAATCATATAATAATATAACATAATATTAGTTGTATAATTATAGACATTGAAAAAATTAGAATCCATTTAAACATTTTAACTAAAACTTTTTAGTCAAAAATACATTTTTATTTTATTTTTTTTACTTTATAAATTATTATAGAATCATTTGGACATTGTGTTTATTATAAATAGTAAAAATATTATAAAATACAATGCAGAAAAGTATTTAATTTTTATTCAAAACTATAGTTTATTATATTTGATAGAAGTGCCTAAAACAGAATAGAAAATTACAAAATTTGTGAGTTAAGTAATTATAGTGTATTTGGTAGTACATTGATTTTCGGCAAAAACAAAACAAAACAGCTTCGTGATCTTACACGTTATACTTCTACAAAAAAACCGTAGACAGCATACTAATATTAATACTTTAGATATATATTCTGAAACAAGAATACATACTTTTGCTAAGAATAATGTTAATAAACTAATAATAAATTAATTACTTCTATTGAGTTGGTAATCGAGTAAGATTTATGAATAACAATATCAAGAAAATGTAAAGTTAAAAACAAACATCTTAATAATTAATAATTTTACTATAGTATGATGCGTCTTTCAAAATAATACAAACCAAAAATAAAATTGTAAGTCTTAATCGCGTAAAATCAATACTTATTGAACTTGAGGAAACAAATTTATGAAAATAAATATAAATGAACGTATTTATGCTTCAATAACATATTTTTATTGGTACAATTTAAATGTATTTTATTACGTCAATAGAGATATTTTCATTAAAAATAACATTTTAATAGCTACAAAAAATATGTTAACTGATTTTGATAATTCTATACTAAGTAAATAAACAAATAATAATAAACGAATCTTAATTAACAAGAAAATAATACGCTGCGGCAGAATTGTTGCCGATACACATAGTACATATTATAATTACTACTGGAATTTTATGTCACGCTTAAAAACATTAAAATATGCGTTAAAAAAAAACTGATTTATTTTACAATATGTGTTAAAATAATCGTTTAAAGCATTATTATCTTTATAATCCATGTTTATTTAAAAAATAAGCTATATAAAATATATTGAGTTAACTAAATATTTTAATTATTTCTTTTAAAAATGCATGATTAACAAGAAAACATAAATCAAATTCATGATTCTTTACAACATTCTGTAGTGAAACGGTATAAAGTAAACGTTATACTTATATATTTAGTTATTATATTTAATCTGAACACTGGTCAATCATAAGTTTTTATTTGCATCCATATTAAATATCTATGGTATACGTCAAAGGTGTATTGTTGAATTTTGCTGGTCGATAAATAATATATGGATATAAATATTGGTTAGGTCTTACGTGGAAGTTTAAATTCTCGTAATTTCTACGGATAATATTTAAGAGTTATACACTAGAATTTACTAGTACACCAAACGACATTTATATACACAAACACAAAAGTAAACATTTATTTTTTCAGTGACAAATTTATCTATGTTTAGTAATTAAAAAGTAAAAAATAAATATATACAATGTATGAACATTTTTTAAGTATTTAGTAATGTAATAATTATTTTATTTTTTTTTAATCGGTATGTGACTATTTAGACTAAAATATCTTTATTTTGGTTTATTTATATAAATACTTAAAAATCTCTATGCGTATTTAATAGAGCCGAAAAAATTTGACAAATATAATACACTATTTGTTTGATTATTTTTCAGAAACGCTGATAACAGCAATAATATTAATAACTAGTAATACGTCCAAAGATAATAAGTTATTTTTTTAAAATATCACTACTAAAAAAAAATTGGGATTCATCGATTTTTCACAACCCACCCCCCTATCACCCTTTAATATTAATTCTATTTCGTGTTGCACAACAATGAATTTATTTACATAATTTGAGATAAAATGAACATGCATGTATAGAGTGTACCTTCACGCATTCATTTCAACCAAAACAAATGTTAATTACACTGGAAATGAAAAAAAATAACACTTACATGACACTGAGAGTACAACGTCAGCATATTGAGGAAGTGGGCTAATTGAGTTTTTTGCTTCACAGCGAAATCTTGCGTTGTTGTCCGAGACATTAGCTGTGAATGAGTACGTGCTCTCCGACCATTTTTCCGTTGTACTGAAATTTATGTTAGACGTGATTATTATTCAAGAAAACTACACACATAAAATAATATACACTGTTAATAGAAATACTTTTGTCAAAAATATAATATTATTTTTAAGACTGGACGATTGAAAATAAATTCATTTTATTTGAATATAAATAATAATAATATTATGACTAAAATATACCTACATGATAATTTATCTAAAATATGTAGGTAACTAAATATAATGAGAAAAGAACCATTGATAAAATTCGCTTTGTTTTGTTTTGCAGTGAATGTAATAAGAAACGCATTCAATTTCGTTCTATCGTTAGATTTTGGATGTAATCAATCAAACTAGGTACTAAATAAATATAATTTTAGATAGGTAATTGCGTAATTTAAATGTGTACCTGTAAAGGTTTTGAATTAATTGGTCGTTCTTGAACCACGCCAGTTTTGTTGGTGGATTTCCATTTTTTGATACACAACGTAGCATTACATATGTTCCTTTTTCCAAAATATCGCCTTCATTGTATCCTTCAATGTGAGGAATTCCCGGTGGATCTAAGTAAATTACATTACACATATTTTATGTTTTTATATTTTGCTGCTAAATTATATTAATATATTTTCGTGAATAAGTATAAAATACTTGACGCTTTACAACTAGTTATAGAGTTATATTCATTATTATAATATATTGTTTAATAATAATAAATAAGAAAATATGTTTAAATGATCAAACTATATTTATCAAGTTATTTATAAACTTTAGCCTTTTATTCAGTTCAACTGTTACTACAGTAACCCTTAAATTTTAAGAACGCTAAAAGTTCATTCAAGTAAACAATTTATAAGTTATAACAACGTTATCGTTATATACATCCCTCACGATATTTATTTAATGCAAATATATTATAGTTTGGACGGTCACAAGTCCTTTATTGACTGTTCTTGTTTTTTATTACTAAAATCGTTTAGTATTTGTGTATGTAAAGTTTGTTTGCGATGAATTTATGTTCAGTATAATGCAGTTTAATTATTATTATTAATGCTTAATATTTTACCTTTTAGTTATGTTACCTTTTCATAGAGTTTTAAATATTTATGCTTCATATTTTCTTTGGAAAATTAAAAATGATTATTTATAGATTAATAAATTGTATTCCGTATGTTTACACAATATTATATTAAACGTTATAACTTGTAACATTGATTTAGGTAAAATAGCATCCCTTGTTTGTAAATCCTATTGTTTTACGTTTTTATGTCATAATAAACGTGAATTTAAATTCATGATAATATATTAATACGTAAAATGTCTATTTTTCAAATTAAAAATAGTCTCACACGTTCATCATACATGTAATGCTTTTGTTAAAGCGCATTTTAATTACATACATATTTTTGGTGTTTATCCAAGAAATATATTTTACAACTTTTATTTAGATAAAACAATGAGTAAGGTCTAAAACTCAAAAAGTTAGAACTTATAATATTTGTAAGTTTTATTTTTTTATTTTATTAAAGTTATAAGACTTAATTATTTATAAATATGATTTATAATATATTAAAATACAGTTATTTTATTTTTGGGTATTACTTGATTTTAAGGAGTCTTAAACGTAATAATGTGCTGAAAAAAAGTATTTTTGTAATATATACACATTATACAAATTTCTCATAGTAAAATAAATGTAAACTATTAAACTGTTTATGTATATTTAATAATACAATTGTTACCAGATTTAAAAATATATACAAACACGATTATTTTTATAGATATTTTAATTTAAAATTTAGATAAAATTACATTTTTCCATTGGTGAAGTATAATGTTAATTATTTTGATATTATTCAAAAACATTATTCAAGGAGATTTAAAATATTTACGTACCCATATTATGAATTTTTATATATCTATTCGCCATGACATTTTAAAAATATTTTCGATTTATATTATGAATGCCTATTCATACTGTTTTACGGAAAGTTAGTATTAACTTAGAAATTAGTATAGTATAAATATCTATTATTATAATTATAAAATGCAATGTTTCTAAAACAATTAAATTAACCAATTATAACACCTATAGTAAAATAAATTAGATACTTAATAGCAATATTAATAAAAGAATATTATGAAATATATTTAGTGATGTAGGCTGACAGATTGTCTCCAGTCAAAATCGTTTTTCGTATGCAATGATATATAATTGAATTCAAATTTAATACACCCATTAGAATGACCCACACGACACCTACTAGAACAGAAGAGTGATACCTACTTGTCCACTTTTATTTTTACTTTCATTAATTAATCAAACTATGTTCATTGCATTGAACTAATTTGTTTGTCTTCAGATTCGATATAGTACGATAGGTATGAAATGAAAAAAATAAAACTGAAAAATGTACTTCAGTTGATGGGACCTAGTCTATGAATGGCGAAATTGAAAATAAAGTAAGAATAATAATTAGGAAAACAATAATTAAATGTACAATAATGGTATATTTTAGTGACATTTAAAAAAATAACTCGAAACTATTATGTACAGCACGACTATTCATTATAAAAACTGTGTTTGATTTCTTTTGTCAATTACTATTGGGAATAACGATTTTATACTGTATTATGTATTTATAGTCCAATGGTGATTTATATATAATGATAATTATTTTTCATCGTTAGAATCTTATCACGGAATCCTTCGTATTAACTTGAATAGGATAAATTAATATACTTCACATTTCATATTGCTATTAAGGGTATTATAATAATAATTTAATAAGGTTTAAATAAACATCGTCTTTGCAGATTTAGTCTAAATTCCAAACTGATCGTCTCGTAAAATTAAGCATTTTCACTGCTACATTTTAAAATCAAATTTATAAATATACAAATACGGCATGCAAATAATGGAATACACAATATAGAATGTAAATTATTTCATAGATACTGCTGGATAATATTTATATCATCGATAGGTAAGTATGGTACACATCGTTAAATATTACGAGGTATTGATAATATTTAAATATTATTGTGTGCAAACTTAATACTATAAAATATGATACTTTTTTGAAACATATTAAACCGACGATCACTGTTTATAAAATAATAAAGTTCTGGAAACTCACATAAAACCCTTATCTGAACAGTGGTTGAAAGTGGATCCGATAGAGCTTTGTGATGAGCTTCACATTTGTATTTCACACGGTCGTCGTTTGACTTAGCGGTTACTTTTATTCGGCTTCGGACGGTGTACAGTTTTAATTTTGTTTCGTTCGCGGTTTCTTCACTTATGTTGTCAGATCGTTGTTCTAGAAAATTATAATGAAAAAAATATGGTACCTTTAATGTATGATTGAGTAGACATTTTTAATGATTCATTGTCCTTATTATCGTTTTTTACAACATTTTTTTTGATTTGCATTAAGCAAATCATTGACATTGAATATGATTCACGTTTGTTAAAAATATACATAACTAATATTATAGGTACTCACCGGGATTGATTTCTTCATCGCTACGAAACCATACTATTCTCGAAGCTGGTTTAGAGTTTCGTGCTATACACTCAATAGTAACCTCTTGATTTTCTTGTACTTCTAATTTTGAGTCTTCGGATTTATTTATGATTTCAACAGACGAAGGCGGGGCTATTCAAAAAATTCAAATTGTATGTTAAACATTAATATCGAAGTAAAAACTAAGTTGTTTATTTCAGCCTTATGTTTATCAACAAATATTATTATAGAAAAAAAGAGCAGACAATTTATACTGATCAATCCTCCAATTAATTGTCTGGACAAATAATAACGATAAGCAATAATAATAAGCTTATTATACAATTGCTTAAATGTTTTTTGACAGTAAAAACATGTTTAACATATTTATTTATTACTGCAAGCGAGGTTCGTCATTTATGATTTATTATAATTCATATGTTAGCCCTAAACTTCCTTTTTTATGGTATAACAAACATCTGGCTTAATCCCCACTGGGATTTTAAACATAAAATGACATAATTAGACTAAAGGATAACAAACTAAAATACTTTTGCTCTCTAATATAATTATTATTATATTTGTTTAAAAAAATAATAATTATTATATTTAGTAAAAATGATAAATTTAAATATTACTATAATTTATTGTAAAACACGGTATTTATGTAGTGAATATTTAAGTGTAATTACTAAAAAATTATACTGCGCACCATAGCGTGAATAAATAAAAAACAAAATATTTAATTAACTGAGCATTATTTTTCTTAGGTTTCAATATATGAATTACAAGGTAAACGGTAGTATTATATTATTAATTTAAACACGTCATTTGATTATAAAAAAGTATGTAAACGTATACCGGAAATTAATACTTGGACGTTAACATTTTTGGGTCTTACGAAGGGTTTCGTTGTTTCAATTAAAACTTTTAAGGGTTTTGTAAATTATATATGCGTAGTTACTCATACTTATATGAGCAAAATTTTAAAAATAACTTGTCACAAACAAAATATCAATTTATATTAATAATTTTACTCATAGAAAAAATAACAGATACGTATAAACAATTAAAATTAAGATCGTGTATAAAAATGTGAATAATTGATAAAATACAAAAAATAAAACAATGGTTTCATAAAGTCGCTGTAAAGATACTTTAATAATGATGTGTAATTTAATAAGACTAAATTAACAAATATGCAATAAATATTTTAGAAAATGAATTACTATTTTTCGAATTAAAGTTAATATATTAATAAGAATATTTAAATAGAATTCCATAAATATCTATAGTTTCATAATAAACTTATTAACTATGAAAGCGTCTAAAAACAATTAATTGTTTTTTTTTCTTTTTACTATTAAATGTTTGACTAGGTTAACATGATAATGTTGTAATAAATAAAATTATTAACTTTGAAAATTATTCAATGAATTTAAAAATTAGAAACCAAATAATCTTATATTATAAAAAATATCACATTTTATACATAAACGTTTCATATTATGTGTACTGACCATTCATTTTAATACTTATGAAATCCCCGTAGTTTAAAATTTAAAATAAATATGTATCTATTTATTTAATAGCTAATATACAACGATAAAATAAAATTTAAGCAGAAATAAACAAATATAATTAAAAAAAATGATTACAGTTACTTTGTTAATTAATTGAAAATTTCATTAAACCTACGTGGGAAAATATGGAAAATATATTTATTTATCATAATATTATGATTAATTAATATTTGTATTAGTTTACTTTTTCATGAAGAAAAAAAAAATTTAGATATTGACTGTGTCTCATTTTACCTACTTAGGGTATTAATTAAACATATAATATGTATGTAATTTCCAGTTTACTTATATGTGTCATTATAGCCATACAAAAATATATCCTATGGTCTTTAAACTGATAAAATGTGTAGTGTAAATAATAAAACACGTTATAATGATGGAGTATAACTCCAAATCATCAACTATGACGTGTGGGTGTGAAATATTTTAAAAAGCGCATTATTTACTCAAATTCAAGTATCCAGAAAATAGCTTTGTTACGCCGGCGTGAGCGACTGGATAAAAATCGGGTTATTAGTAATGCCTGGTATAAAAAGAAGGTGTACTCAGTAAACCTTAGAAAAAAAAAAACAAATCGACTCGTTAAACAGCCCACATGATTGTATATACATACTGCATAAGCACCAAACAATTATGTATAGTAACGTATGCACCTAATATAATATTTTTTTTCTCGAAAATCTCGCAGAAGTTATTTAGTACGTTTTAATCGTACGCCTACCATCATCAGTAATCAGTCAATTGAAACGTTATTTAAGCGCGATGACTATCATTTATTATTATTATTATTATTATTATGGATATACTATATAAGCACTATTGGTCAGCAAAAATAAATTAGTTTTTCCCAAAAATGAAAAAAAAAAATTAAAATACGTTGTGAACTCTCTACAATAATTATTCACTTTTGACATACTTCTTGAATATAATTAAACAAAAGAAGTAGGTATATAAATATGTCATCAGACCGAAAACTTTTTCAACAAAAAGAAAGACGTCGTAAGTATCACAACATTATATTACGTTATATTGGAGCTAATAAGTGTATTTTCACCCGTCGGAATATATATTTTAATAAACAATCGTTGTGGCTTGTAGGAAAACAAACATAAATATGGTAGGGTAACGGTTATGTTAATTTAGAAGATTCTATACAACTCTATTAATGTAAATACTGGTTAAAAATATTGGGTCCTGATGAGTGCGTTTAAGCACTGGAAGAATAATATTATAATGATTACGATCGAAATCTGTGATTCTATTCAGTGATTTTTTGAAGCTACGGACTTAATTAATTTTATTCCGTCGCTACTGTAACCACATATTTAAATTTTATCGATTTTTGTTCGTACGAAACGACAAACACAATAATTATGTATACGGGGTTTGTGACGATAAGCTAAACTGATGTATGCATTTATAACATAAACTATATAAATATATATATATATATATAACCTAACCTTTATATATATTTATAAAACTGTGAATATATGTATTCACATCGTTTATGATTTGACAACGTATAGACAATAATGTGATTAAAAATTCAAATTCGACGGATTCAGTTTAGCAGTAGTCTCTAATAAATGTTACACACAATTTTCATTGGAAATGATACGAGAGTATATATTTTGAAACTTAAAACGGCCGTGATGCGATGATGATACTCACTCAGAACGGACAACGTGGCCGATGATCTAATTGGTTTGCTCCCCGCCGCCGGCCCAGGGCTCACTTGACACTGGTACAGTGCATCATCCGTTATTGTCACATTTCTGACAAGTAAATTGTACACCCCATTTCCGGCATCGATCACCATAGAGTGCCTCGGATGTCCCGGTATTTCGGCTGCATAACCTGTAATTGAGACATATTATTATTATAAGCGTTTTTATTACCGTGGCGATTTTTTCATACACATTTTCTCCTTCTATAACGATTTCTGGTTTACCCTACACTCACTGCCAAGCGATTCACCGCGATTAAAAAAGGTCAACAATCTGTCCGAAATAATAACATTTGCATAACGCGATTAACCTACCCAGAGCTAATCCATCTTTAGTCCACTGGACATCACCAGTAATGTCGTTGATTTCGCAAACCAACGTCACATTCGAACCTTCTCGAGCGTTAACATTTTTTGGAACCACCCTGAACTCTTGCTGTTTGAATGTTGTCACTATAAAATCGAAAAAAATAAACATGAAATTAATAACACGACATTATTGGATTCTTAATATTATCACTGTTATATAATTCGTTATGACTAGTTTATTGTGCGCAATACAATGCAATCGACAGTTCGACCAACAATAGATATAATATTTTAAAAATATATTATTTATAATCACACACAATGGATCGACTTATATTTCTAGTATACTAGTATAATAGTGTCCACTGTAGTCTTAACTATAACAAATTATTCATCATTTAAAAAAGCAAAACAAGCATATAAACAATTTTTGTTTACGTCCCACCGGCGTTGCTATAATATATTATTATACTTAGTAAGAAACAATGATAATTGTTAAAAAAAATATCCTTTTAACGGATGAAAGTGATAAATAATTCCGTTACGTTTATCAGATGAGTATGATTGCTTGTGTAAGTATATATGGAATTGTTCAATCCATATTCCAAACATTTTTTTTTATGTTTGATGAATAATAATATATACATGGGGTGACATTCGCTACGGTCACATGATAATATGAACGAACAATAATAATATATACTCATACCATACAAACACCCAAAAATATAATGTAATTATAAGTGTTTTTAAAAAACTTGTAAAAAGGTAATCTTAAAGCTGTTTATTGATATAATTCTAATTTAGGACATCTTATTAGACATCGCTTGTGATTTTGAACGTAATTTAAATTAATCATTTTATTTTTGAAATAATTATGTTATCTCTCGTTCATTTTGAAAATCAATAAAGCACATTTTACATGAAACCTATATAACACAATTAGCTTTATCTAACCTTTAATACTTTGATATACAAATTTCGTTTTAAATAATATTCAATTGAAATAAAACATACGGTTATAATGAAATATATGAAATCTTTAATATTACATCTGTTTTATACTAGCATAAATTTAATATTTATAGATAATACATTTATATTGTAGAATATAGACAAATACACTTTATGGCTAATTCTATATTATTTAAAAATAATTAAAGTGTTCAATATTAGGATAAAAATACGTACCAGAAATGTTTCATTGAATAATAATAGTAATAATTATATATTTTTTTAAATAAAAAATATAATTTAAACTTAATATTAAAACAAATAAATTATAATAATATAATATAAGATTGTTGGTAGGTGTATGACTTTTATTTCATTTATTTCCAATTCTATGATTAAAAATGATTTAGTTTGGATAAATTAAATTATTATTTTTTATTTCTGTTTTATCTTTTAATTACGGCTATTTTGAACACAAATGTTAATAACAAAAAAAAAATCCACATTCATTATATTTTCACACGCTTAAGATATAGCGCGTTATAGTTGCTACGTAAAAAACCTGCTTAACAACGAATACATAATTTCAAATATAGTGTATTATATAAAAACCTGATTATGAATATCAATATGATAATAATATAATATATCGATGAATGGCATTATAAAATCTATAGTTGATTGACAAATTTTTAAATTGTAAAATATAAAACCATAGGTACGTACAAATGTAGGTATCGTTGTGTCTTAAAATAACGTTCATACAATATGTTTATATTTTTATTACCACTGTTGAACATGTTTAATTAATAAAATATGGATAATATTTCTATTTCAATATTGTGGTTTTGTGTTGTAACCATGCTGCAGTTATGGTGTCTTATCGATGGTTTAAATCTAATGTGATGATAGCGCATGGTTCATCTGTTTTCTTTCGGTTTAGCCTACGCTTGTAAATGATCGATAAATAATTACTGTCTCGCGTGTGCAATTTTTTTTTTTCCCATTAAATAATTGAATCAAAAGAAAAATAACTGACAATATTTTATTTATAAATATAAAAACCGTAAGTGATGGTTTTCAATTTTTTTTCTCAAAAATAGTAATTTTTTATGAAGTGTAAAGATTAAACAATTAAAAACTGCATAATTTATGCAATATCCGGTGGCGTAGCCGGGATTATTGGGACTGTAATATTTATACTAAGAATGGGTGTATGTATTCTACTCCTGTAGAATTAAAAGTAAAACTATTATTTTCAAAACAAATCGTGAGAAACTTGATAATTGTGTATTATTTAGAAGGCAAAAACAATAATTGTATCCGGTTTTAATGGAAAATCTAGATTTAAAAATTAAGAGTATGATTTAAAATTAAAATAAAAAAAATTATATATAAATGATGCTTATGTTGTGTGCGGATGTAGCATACGAATTATATTTAAATAGCCTTAGGTATTTATTCAGTAGTGTAAAGATGATAACGATTTGCCGTCTTTGTAATTAATAAATTTAAATACAAGTCTCGATCAAAATTACATAGTAAACAGGTAATCGTTAAAATACTTGCCTTGCTCACTTTTTTTGAACATAACTGCTAGATACTAAATATTCGTAGTTATTATATTATATTAAATGCAAATGTCTAATAAAATAAAAATGTAATCAATATAATTTCAAAGAAACTTAAAATAGCAAGATTTATTTTAAAGTTAGATACTAATTTTGTTAGTTTTTTTCATTAATTACGTAGTTGAAAAATTTTTTTATTTAATTTGAAATATTTAAAAGTTTACTTATATTGAATATACTATATATATATTTTTTTAAATGTAATTTTTATATTTTTAATCAATTATTAAAATTAAAAAAAAAAAATGACGTGGCAAGTGAAATTCATTAATTTTCCGCGACCACTGCTCAGCTCATCAGAATTTAAGGTGTTTATAAATAAGAAATTGTTGAATCAATATTCAATATTTAGTTTTTAGAATACACAAAAAAATATATTTGAACTACTTAATATATTTTCAACATTTAAATCAAATTAATTGATGAAAAAATAAATACTTGGCAATTTTAATTTCCAGAACCATATAATCTTAGTACCATATCATGGTGTAATTATTTAATGCAAACATTTAGAAAATATTAAAACTGATGAATAACATAGATATTTAAAATATCTAACATATATCTATGCATATTATTGCTGTATATTTTTGCATATTAAATCTAAAACTAATATGGTATTTTAACATTTTCAATTAAAAAATATTATTTTTTTTCAATAATAAAAAATGGTAATTGTCTATTATAATATATCATATTATTTTGTGATATTATGTATCATATGTCGAAAATGGTGCTTAGCAGTAAAAATAACACATTTCAAAAAAAAAAAAAAAAATATATGTATATCATTTTATAAATAAAATGTTTGTTTTAAAATAAAATTTCACAAAAATGAAATAAAACTAAAAATTATAAAATTTTTAAATTTTATTTGCATCAGGAAGTAATTAGGTATATTATTAATTTAAAAATTATTTGTAATGATTTATACAAAATAAGTTAATACCGTATCATATTTAATGCTTTATTATTCATTTATAAAATAACACCATAATATAACCAAGTTAAATTTATGAATTAATATTATTATTTTTCAAACAAATTAATTATTAATTTTTATTTTGAAATCAATAAAGGATGAATTGACTATAAAATGTATGTTGTACTTTAACAAAATAATTTTCTATTATACTTCTTATACTTAATTGTATTAATCAAAATGTAAATTATTTGTAGGTATAATGCATACGTATATTTGATTATATCATATTTAATCTGTAGAATCTTGTAAATAACGATGCGAAAAAAAATTCATGTAATTATTATGTTTAATATACCATAATAAATTTTAAGCTCGCTATTTTTGTCTATGTTTTACACAGTTTAAACATTAATAGAAGAAACAGTTCTATATGAATGAAAATATTCATATAAATGGAAAATATATTTTCGTACGTTAATAATACACATTTTAAGAAAATTAAAAGTATTTTAGTACGATAATATTAATTATTTTTTCACATTTTAAAATGTATCGACTCTCGCCATGCTAAGTGAAAATATAAACTGATCTCATACGTATACAAAATGTATATTTTTAAATATTAAAATAAAGACCGGTCTATTAATTACTTAAGCAGCTCAAAAAAAACCATCATAAATGTACATATGGTAAGCAGCTGGAACCGTCTCTAACCGAGAGTGTACCTCGTCAAGATGTGTGCGATACGAAACCACACGGTATTATTATCATCAAGTATCTACGTGGGAGAGGGGTGTTTAAAAAAAACAACACAATATTTTGTTGACGTTTAACAGAGGTATTATGCGAAAATCGTATGGCCCAAATGTACTATTTGTATGTACACATCGTATAATATATGGCTAATAATACATTGGACCAATTTGGAGTGCGTTTTAAGTAGGGGTCGTGTTTTTTTTTTCATTCTCAGTCTAAGATTGAATGTCAAAAGGGCGTTATATTAATATAAAGTACAGTGTGTGTGTTGAAAGAGTGTGAAACCACACGCATCGATGAGTGAAATGAAAACACCAATATATATTTTCGCAATGTAAATTGCGTCTACACACGGATTGGGCTAAGATGATATTGTTATTAAATTATTATTTCCAAAGACGATTTCCGGTGATTAAAATGCACAAGAATAAACAGGAAAAAATGGTGCATTAAATTTTTTATAATAATATTTTTGATTAGTTAAACAAGAAGTTTGGACCAAATCACCCTCAAAAGAACACCTGACGAAGTGACTCTTACACCCGTTCCAGGTGTTTTTCTCTATTACTAATGTTCAGACAGTAGGTACATTGTGCAAGGTGTTTTTTGACCATCTGTTATTACTTTTTAAAATATTAAAATAATATAGTAGTACTATATATTACAATATAATGTTTAACAACTAAAATTTATATGTATTCTATACATGGTTAATTTTATTACATACTATTTTTATACTTTGATCATTATACGATCAGCGTACATCCCAGTATAAAAATATAATGTCTGTAATTAGAGAAAAATTCCACTCTTATAAATTATTTTGCAATTCAGTTAAATGGTTCCCGTAATATATTGTTCAAAGCTTCAGTTCAACA